CTCCATTTCCGAAAAAAAACTCTCGCATTTGTTTCTCATATGCTACATTCATGTTATATGCAAAGGCTTGACTGTAATTTATAATTATGATTTTTACGAGTCGAGAAAGGGAAATTTTTACACAGAGAGAAAATACATAATTTATTCGGATAGCCTGGTATTGTTAGGGTAATCAGATAAAGTGCGTCCATTTAGACAGAACATGCAGCTAAGATCGGACAAATAAACACAAGCCTGTACAGAATTATGGGTAGAAAAGTTAAAGGGGAGAGACCACTTTAAAGACCTGTGTGTATTTTAGGCTTTAAATATGCGAAGAAGATTGAACAGTCTAAACCAGGTCTGTACGACTTTAAAGTTTATGTGGTTTAATATGTAAACTATACAAGTGCTTTGACTCGCAGTCTCTTATTTATTGAATTATAATTACATTAGTTAAATGTTTGTGAACGTTATACATTAATTATGTGTAAATAAATACATTAATATGTTATATTAGTCATTTTTTTAATTAAATTTAAATACCGGTGCGTTTTTTGATTATTTCAATTTGCAAGTACGCGAATTTAGTAACTAACAAATTGTTACTAATTTTTTTGGTTGTTAGAAAGTACAAACGTTTAGGTTACGTGCGGTAACCTTAAATAAAACATGAATGTCAGGTTTTGTTATCACAAAGGTTCAACCACTGTATTGCTATCAGTTTAACTCTTATGTCCTCACGGTACTCTACGGAGGATTTTGTTTCATGAAGTGGAAATATTCGCAGTGTCAATCAGAAATACGTAACAGGTTTCATCTATGATAAAACACCGGTTACAATTACTCACGTACCGTTAGCGTTTATCAGGAAAGCAAACGATGCCAAAGGAAATTTTAATGTAGTTCAGTATCGTTAGAATCTACGTCATCTGAATATGATCATTTTACTTTCTTTTACCAATAGAAACATCTATACAAATAACGTTTAATCATGTAACCCCGAAAAGTTTTCTTTGATGTTTGTAAACTAATATTTTCTTTATCTTAACTTAAAGTTTAATTTAATATCATTTCGTAGAGCTTTCTCATAAATGAGCCTCCGTGGATGGACTCTTTCAACTAATATGTCTTTTATATGTAAGTCGTAGAGTTAAAAAAGACATTTTTTTATTAAAGATGTTCAAACAGAATAGCTGAGATTACTGGATTATTTAGCTTCATATTACATAAATATTTTCGATTTTATATATCACGCTTCGAAAAAATCGACAACCCTAACTAATCTCAACTAAACTATCCCCTTAACAGCTAAGAAATGTGTATGGTTTTCTGCATATGCGTAACCTAACCTAACGTAACGTAACCAAACCTAACCTAACCTAACCTACACCAAATTAACCCAACCTAAACAACCATAGTAATATCTACCACCTTAGCAGCTGACCATTTCGAATGGTCGTCTGCGCTTGAGTAACACTCAGGAAAAGGTCATTTTCGCATTCGCTGCTGTGAGAACCTAAAATTTTACCTTAACAAGAACCTTAAAAACTAAAACTTGAAAATAAACAGCATAAATAGAAGTAACACCAGTTTTGCTGTACGGAAATTAATCTTTGACAATTAAAGCGAGTGTCGTAAATAAATTACAAGTAGTAGAGATTAAGTTCTGTACTTTATATGGTAATTTAATTTCTAGCAAATCAAATGTGAGGAATGTTTACTTTATGTAAAGCTATGGTTTGAAGAAGCAAACCAAATTTAAAAACCCCTACGACAATGCCAAATTTAATCGAAAGTGATTGTTTAATTTGGGATAAGCGTATGAGAACCCTGTTCAATAAATGATTTTATTGTTGGCCATTTAAAGGAGACGCGAAATCTTTCGGGATTCGTTAACATATATATTTATTACTATCCAAATTTGCAGCATTGTAAGCTTCGGTGTTCTCGTGCCCAGTGTTGAATGAGGTATCTTTACATTTAATTCACCTGTGGTACTGTGCCATTGCTTGGTCAGACTGGATTCACTGCGCTGGGGGATGTGTATATCACATCAGAGAGCTCCCTCCCGTGCTATCACATTTCGGTTGCTCTGTATTAAATCTCTGAAGCATGCATACATACATACATCACATAAAGTCACTAGGCCAGCCAACACATCATGTACGCTTCAGAGAGGAAATAGAGGGAAAATTTATTTTGAATACTGAACCGTATTTGCTGCTGAGTTTCTAAACACTGTGTTGCAGTAGAAAGATTACTCTCTGCTATCCTGTAATTTTCAGGGAGACAGAAATTGGAACATTTTTAACTAACTCCAATGGGAAGAGTCCATATTATCTTCAAAAGATAGTTTTTATTTAGTTACTCAAGAAACATCCAGCTGTTTAATGAAATTAAATATTTCATCACCGTGTTTATAAAAGCTGTCTGAAATTCCCTG